TGTACATAGCTCAGTGGTTAACGCTTCTGACTTTGAACATCGAATACGCAGGTTCGATCCCTGCTGAAGTCTAGAAAAAAAAGAAGTCTCATATTTCGTTTTTATGTTTTCCTGTAATTTCGCTATAAATATGCTGGTGGACTTCAAATGTAATTCGCATAAAGGAGTTAGTATTTGTGACAGGTAAAATTCAAAATTGTATGAAAAAGATGTCGAATTCCGACAACTGGGCGATACTAGTAAATAAAAAATCTGCTTTATACCCGGTACAGTTTGTAGAAATAAACGATGTTCTTTTCAATAATAAAAATTTAGTTGTTTATAAAATATCGTGCATTTTTTAAACAAATTATGTATAACATAAGAAAATAAATAACGAGTGTTGTAGCCTTAATAGTGTTTCCTTCACATTACAAGTTTTAAAAAGGGGAAATGTAATGCTTAAATCCGTAGTCCAATATGTATGTATGACAATTTTAAAAGAAAAGGAATAATTTTTATTTAAAATGAGTTTTTTTCAAAAACGGCTCGACAAGTTATGGGCTATAAAGGTTTTACACATTATTTATAACATAATTAACCCAAATTAGCAAAATATATGATGTGCTATGACCTTCGATTTAAAGTTGGTTCAGGCCCACCGTGCGTACTCTACAGAAAACCTAGGGTGACCGGAAAATTCTGACTTCAGATTTGCATTTTTTTGCAGTGTAACTATTAAACACCTTCAAAGCTCACTGGAGTCAAAAATGACAAGTTGACAACTTACCTGTAAGCTTCGGCCAAAAGAGGATTTTGTTTTATAGCAAGTGTTGAAAATTGTGCAGATTTATCCAAGCGTCGACATTGAAAATGAATTGATGATAAGAGCAACAAAACTCCAGTATTTGTGCTATCTTGTCTCCATAATTGCATGCAGTGCTTTTCAGCATTTTCATAATCCACCGCCTGATATTCCCGATGTGCTAACTCCAATAACCCTAAAAAGAAAGATCCATTAATAATAATACTGAAGGATCCAATTGTACCATAGTTCGGCCGAAATATACATTACAATAATTCGCGCAGAACTGAAAAGTGGTACAAGTGTTAGGAACTCTATTACAAATAAAATATTGAAAATCACAATGCTATTAAAATTTATCCGCGGTTAAAGGTGGAAATGACGAACCCGAGCCCCAGTCGATGACGATGGAGTCGATATCCCTCCTCCGGATTATGACGAGATACGACTAGCAATTACCCGGCTGAAAAATCACCCACCATCAACGAACTGATTGGAGCTTATCAGTGTGGCTGTTTAGGCGATGTACCATTGGTACATGTCATACTCTAAATAGCTGCACAAATTTGTCTAGTTTGTTACTTGCCACACTTCTGTTTAACTATGTTATTTTTCGTTATTTTGAACCACCCTGCCTTCGCAATTAAACATAGCTTCGACAAATGTCAAAACATTTGAAGACTGCTATCGATAACATAGGTGTTCATTACAAGCTCCTACCCACCCTTTAAAAGCTCGATTTCCGGTCGAGATCTTTCTTTTTCTGCTGAGGACATCACGTTGTTCGGATCGTGCCACGTAAAGTATCGCCTTTTATCACATTTGATATAAGCCGCGAAGTTGTGATTAACTTTATACAAGTATAATTACCTACTGTCAATTCGACTTTTAATTATACTTAAATCGAAAACTAATATTCGTGCGCGATGGCCATAAAAAAAAACTCGTACCGATTCATCCGGAGATTAAGGGAGCTTTAAAATACCTCAGCGCTATGCTGATAGCCCCGAAGGGCCCACCAACCTTGATCCGCGAGAGCCACATTAATCCGCAGAAACCATCTGTCCGAAAGTTGGCCTATTTTATTGCCACCGCATCCGTTCTGCTACTGGTCCTTCATCTTGCTCGGACACTTCCACATGTTACGATCATTACCGCCCTTTCCAATTCAACGTAGAGGTTTTTTCACGGCGTTCCAACGGAGACGGACCTACACCCAGTTGCATGAATACATAAATAAGTATCACAATACTTAACCCAAGCGATTACCAACATCAAAAAAAAAATTACGTTTTCTCACCACTTATTGTGTGAAAAGCAAGATTAGGAGCTCGCATTGTTTATATGTATTTCTTCCTCTTAGTTTAATTTCGCAAGAAAGAATAAACACCTGTAAATAATTTTTGTTCGACCTAAATCTATACTTAAATATCATCCTTAAGAATTAATATCACCGAATCATATCACAGATCAACATTTCCTATTAACTAAGTATGTATATACCTACTTAACACGATAAATATTTATTGAAACAGAGAAAAAAAAAGAAGTAAAAACTAAGCTCAAAAATCCACTTTGAAATGTAAGAAAGCAGAAAGGGAACTTGAAGCATATACTAAACTTCATAATCACTATCACAGCTGGACCACAGCACAGTATTCATTTGAGGTTCGCAAGAGAACAGTAATGATCATTAGCAAAGTCATTCTTTGGATTACAACCACCAATTTCCCGCCAGCAACGACTCTAGAAAAGAGAAGAGTAGTATACTAATTTTGCATTTATTGTTGTTGCGGTTTTGATTTAATTTAGTGCTCCCACACTCTTTATCAAACAGGTTTTCCGTCCTATGTGACTTTGCCAGTACAGCTACCGTACCGATACATAAGACCACTACAATTATTTTTCTTATCAGCTAGAATTTTATACACAAACACAGTAATTTGATGAGTAGAAGCGACTAGGTTATCTAACTAGTAAAAGTTGGAAAAAGAAAGCAAATTTTCTAATAAGAAAAAAAGGTTTTGATATATAGCAGCGTCGCGAAGATACAGCAATGCGGAGGAGGCCTTCGACGCATCGTGGGATAAATGCATGACCAGCGTATCAAGTAAGTTACCATTGATTTTATTTGTCATTCTCTATTTGCTTTCCTTCCCTCTCGTTACTTGTTGTAACCCAAGTCATATATTTTTTTTTAGAATACATGTATATATACAAATGTATATAAAGATGTTTACATGCATATGTATATAGTTAGGTGATCAGACCGATGATCATGTAGTAGGTACGCATTAAGGTAGGTCGTGGCTTTCGATTGCTTCTATGTTCATATTTACACCCAAGCACGGTTAGTAGCACTTGAATCTGGTTAAAAGAAAAAAAAGATATGGATTTTACTTCGCGATTAAACTAATTACTTAAGATCTAAATATAAGTTTGCTCACATATGAAAGTTAATATATACATATAACACAAATTAGCCCTCTTGCGCAAATTAACGAAGTTTTGTACTTTTGTTTTACAGTACAACATACAGAAATCGTAAACCAACTGAATTAATGTTTTATGCTTAGAATTTAAATAAAATATTAAGAGTTCCATAAATATGAAAAGGTTAGGCTCGATACAATAAATGTATTATAACTAGTTGTAAGCTGAATTTGTTAATAAAAGAAAGAAATGAATAGTAAAATGGAAGGCTAAGTGTTCTAGTTTGCCTGGTTCTAGGGCAAGTGTAGTTGGATACGTGGGGCTTGTTAATAACACCTCTAAAGCCAATGGTAGGGGTGGGTACAGAAGCAGCCACTGACATCCGGAACGCGCTGCTGGCATGGTGGGGTGTGAGAAAGAGGGGATCACACTATAAGGTTGTGGCACGTTTTTTTTTTGATTATTTTCATGGTTCAATATTCCCAGTGTGTAAATAGAATTCTCGTTTGGGCTGTTGACTGCCAACGACGAGGGTTTATCTGGTGAACACGTATAGGAACCACGACTAATTCAAGCTCCGGGTATAAACGCCAGTACACACGCCGTGGTCATCGGACATAGACATAAACCATTCGCTCGTTTCGGCTATAATTATCATGCTATGCCGGCCAGTCAACCAAGGGCTCATAACATAAAATGGCACCCAACGTGGGGCCGCACGATAGTAGGTTGCCTTTTGGTGCTTCTTCATCTCGTAGCTCCATTGATAAGATTCCCTCTTGGAATCAATCTGTCCGTCCGGTTTGCATAAATTATTTACTTTTTGTATATAATTATGGAACTTCAGATAAATTGAGCTAAATGCTTTGCATTCTGGCCATATTATTATTTCGTTTTCGTACTTATTCCTTCGTTTTGTTTTTGCGGATTCGAAAACTTGTCGCTGGAATTTGCGATCCTACCGGCTATATGCCTCCAGAGCGTACCGAGTCATAAGTTTGCGTCCAAGGATTGATTTAAACAAACCGTTTTTAGATTTTATTTTTGTAGGCCTATATTTAACTATCCGGATCGTAGTTGCAACCAGGCGAAATGCCTGTTGACTAACTGGTAGGTTATTTGGATGAAAAAAATAAAAACTAAATATTCTCAATTTTCATTTCGAGGTATTATTCTTATTATTATTTTATTTTATTCTGATTCTTGGTGAGATTTCCGGAATTTTATAGTTTTATGTGAAATAAATTAAAACCGTTTTCATCGAGAGTTTCAATATGCCATAGCCGGAGTGATTTCTTTCACACCTTGCTGAATTATATGCCATATAACCGCTACACGACCCCCTGTAGAACCAGACTAACCAAATTTATTACTTATACATACACTTTGAGGAGATTTTTTTTGTATACCATTTATTTTTTTCCCCCTATTTGCGATTTGACGATATTATAATAGCCGTAAGACTTTCGTGAATTCCTGCATTACTATACCTGTTTACTAGCCCTGCGAAATATTTTCGCGTGAGTATGAAAAATTGTAGTATCTAACTCGTAGGACATAGAAACAGAAGTTGGTTTCTCCTTTGAATACGTAACTTTTTTGACTCGGCCTTACTCTTCACCGGATTAAAGTTAGTACTCTTGCTCAGGGGAATTATATTAGCGATTTTTTTTTAACTTTTTTTTTAAGCTTCTGAATCAAACATGTTCCTCCGCAAACTGTCTGAACAATTTGTAGAGAAAATTTTTCTGAGCATGACGATGTACTTATTAAAGAGTGTTCCCATCGCTTTCACAGAAATTGTTTGATGTCTTGGTTAAAAAGAAACTCATCCTGCCCACAATGCAGAGCAACGTGTAGCAGTAGGGACTTTCATACGAACACTGGTGCTCGAACACGATCTCCTATGATTCCTTCAGAAAAACCCGTAGGGAATGCAAGTGGATGTAAGAATTTGCAGCCTGCCAGCGAGAACGTACAACAAGCACATCGCCACCTGTTTACCGGGCGTTAATATTGAAACCACGAGTGGTGGCGAGCCACCAAACGTAAATGAAGAAGTACGCGTTCGAAACTTAGTTGCTGCTGTTATAGCGGCCAGACAAGCGTCTATGCTTGAAGGTTTGGAAAATCGGGCTACTCAAATTATTGAACAAAAGATAGAAAGCGCTTTGACAAATTTGGTAGAGCGGTTGAATCTAAATCCCGCACAATTACCACCGCCTGGTAATGATGCCAGCCAAGCTGCTAACATACCAGCGGCGCCTCTTCAACCAAATATGTCCACACCTAGATGGCCCAGAGATATACCTCCTATGCCTAGTCAAAGTAACTTAAATTTTAGCCACCAGATTGACCAATTGCGATTCAGTGACCTTTCGAGCGTTCCACATTCAAGTCGAATAGCACAACTTATTTCTAGCTGGGACGTGAAATTTGACGGTACATCGCGTTTATCTGTAGATAGTTTTTTGTCCCGAATAGAATTGCAGGTGCTTGATGCACTTGGCGGGAATTTTAACCTGCTTTGTGAGCATGCGCAAAGTTTATTTGTTAACGAGGCAAAGGATTGGTACTGGCGGTACTGCCGGTCTGTCCAACGCGTCACCTGGCCATCTCTCTACCAAGCTTTGCGCACAAATTTTCAGCAACATAAGAGTGATTTTGAGATCAAACAAGCCATTCGAGCCAGAAAGCAGGGACAGAATGAGTGTTTTGACGACTTTCGCATTGCAATATTAAAAATTGCGGAGCCTCTGCAAT